CCCCAAAACCCCAAAACCCCAAAACCCCAAAACCCCAAAACCCCAAAACCCCTAAGATCATTAAAATATTTGAAAATTAAGTATGAGAGGGGAAAATACAGATTTTCCAAGAATCATGCCCCAAAGAATCGGGAGGATGAAAGCACTGTCTGCTTCTCCAAATGGAGCAATACTAAGAGTCCTTGGCCCTGATTGGTGGATGACTTTACTTGCTTCCCTAATTATAATAGTGGGGTTTATCCTAACAGTCATAGTGATTTTATCTTATGATTCGTTTATTATAAAGACTTGTTGCATTCTCTTTGCTACTCTCTTCTTTTTTGCTATTATCTGGAGCCTTCTTTCATTGGCTACAACTGATCCAGGCATAATTCCCAGATCTGATAAAAGAGTGACTATTAAGACTGAATTTTACATGACTTTAAAAGACGTTGAGACTTTTGATAAAGACGCAGACGGTATCGATCTCAAAATATGACGCACATGAATGATTGTTCGCCCTCCAAGAAGCTTCCATTGATCAAAATGTAATACCTGAATTGAAATGCATGATCATCATTGACCTTGGGTTGGACAATGAGTTGGACTCAGGAACAATAAAAAGTTTTTCGTTTTCTTGCTTACAACAGGAATTGGATCTTTATGAGGATCAATGCTGTGCTTACCTCCTTTAATAGAGAGATCAGATGCCATATTTCTTGGAGATACATCGCTCCAAGATACTGTCTTCAAGGTTGCGATATTTACAGGAATGTTCACGTTCTCAATGGGATGAACCCTGATTGTGTTTTCTATATGCCATTTACTTCAAGTTAGCAAGAATCTTACAACGAATGAGTCTATCCGAGAAATTTATCAGGATACTCCGAATCCTTTTAATAAAGGCTGCAGCGAGAATATGCATTTGTTCTGGTCAGTTTATCCAAAATCACCTTCAAACCTAGTTGATAAAGGAGAAAATTCAAATGAATATTACTCGAAAATCTTGCAAAGATATGGAGAAGTTCATGCTAGAGCAACTCAGGACCAACAAAGCACTAGACAACAAGTTGACCTTGAAGATTTTAGAAACTATCGATATGGACCTATACGATTGTATGAAGATTAATTTCAATTTTTGATACAAAGATTGGGGTTTTGGGGTTTTGGGGTTTTGGGGTTTTGGGG